AGCTACCCTTTGTCGAGTTTTCTTAAAAATTCGTTTTTGAATTTTAATAACTTTGTTTGACGCTGTATAGAAAAGTTGTTTAATACTTTTCTATAGATACCCATAAGCATTACTTCAGAAAAAATTTCATTGAAATATATTTACTATTATAGGAGTTATGGCCGTTTGAAAATTGGACCATTTTTATGGGGTTTTTCTCACTTTACGGGGTTAAGGAACAACTTTTCGAATATTTTTGGAATGTCTACATATTCTCCACAAAAATACGCGTCGTTTGTCTTTCGTAATATTAAAATCCTCTAATCCGTTCAGAAGTTATGATGTTTTAAAGACACGCACGAAATTTCAGTAGAATATTTCTGGTCACACATTATATTTTTGATAAAGAATTTTTTTCTCGAAACTGAGTAGGATTTCGGGGGTAAGTCTATTCACCAAAAATGATTGCAATTGACTCCCACAACCAAAAATAATTTTTTCAAAATGATTTGAAATTAATGTATAAGTAAAGTGAGGAAAAGCCAAAAATTTCAAATCATTTTGAAAAAATTATTTTTTGTTGCGGGGTCTAGTTTTAATCATTTTTGGTGAATAGACATACCCCCGAAATCCTAGGCACTTTCGAGAAAAAAATTCTTTACCAAAAATATAATGTCTGACCAGGAATAGGTAATTCTATTGAAATTTCGTGCGTGTCTTTAAAACATCATAACTTTTGAACGGATTAGAGGATTGTAATGTTTCAAACGGCAAACAATGCGTATTTTAGTGAAGAATATCTAGAAATTTCAAGAATTTTCGAAAACTTGTTTCTTAACCGCGTAAAGTGAGAAAAACCCTACAGAAGTGGTCTAATTTTTAAGCGACCATAAGTATACAGGGTATTTCACCTAACTTGACCACCTTAAATATATCGCTTATTTTGTATGATAGAAAAAAATGTCAAGGGGAGAAAGTATTCTGTTCGAAGGCGCCAATACGGTGATGGATCGAATTTTTTTTTCAAGGTCATTTTTTTCGAGATTTCAAGGTCATCGTATTTTTTTTAAATGGGACCACATATTTTCGCTACAACAGTCTTATAGCTTATAAAAAGACGAATCCAACGATGTGCGATATGTTGACCTTCACGTGACCTTTAGCGAAGGAATTATGAAATGTTTGTCAGTAACTTCAGTACGCGTTCGGAGACGGTAAATGAAGGAATTTCAATTTCATTGAAACAGTGTACCGTGTAATTGTTTCTGGTGCTTATAAATAGATATTCATATTCTCCTTTCAACGGTTGAAGTATGTTTACAAGCATTATTATTGTAAGAGGGGAATGACCGAAGCGGGTCAATAGCGCGTTGTCAAAAAGCCGCGACGTACACAACAAGTTGCAGTATCGATAGCAGTGTAATAAGATTCTCCATCATGTACACTACAGCAGAAAAAGTGGAAATGATTTTATGATCGCCGGATCTTACGCCACTTGATTTCTTTCTGTGGGGGCACCTAAAAAATACAGTTTACAATGATATTCCCACAACAGCAGAAAACATGCGACAAAGGATTCTTACATGCATGTAGATCAATTACTGTAGAACAACTGAAAAATGTTCAGCAAGAATTTATTTACCGCCTCCAAAAATGTATCCAGGTTCATGGTGCACATTTTGAACACCTTCTAAAATAAACATTTAATTTAAGACTGTTTCAATGAAATTGAAATTCCTTCATTTACCGTCTCCGAACGCGTACTGAAGTTACTGACAAACATTTCATAATTCCTTCGCTAAAGGTCACGTGAAGGTCAACATATCGCACATCGTTGGATTCGTCTTTTTATAAGCTATAAGACTGTTGTAGCGAAAATATGTGGTCCCATTTAAAAAAAATACGATGACCTTGAAATCTCGAAAAAAATGACCTTGAAAAAAGAATTCGATCCATCACCGTATTGGCGCCTTCGAACAGAATACTTTCTCCCCTTGACATTTTTTTCTATCATACAAAATAAGCGATATATTTAAGGTGGTCAAGTTAGGTGAAATACCCTGTAGTCGAGGTAAATGTACCAGTTACTCAGACGTTCCGAATAATCGGAACTGTACTGTATATCTTTCTCAGTCTTAATTTCTAAATGATTTCCATTGTTTTTTATCTCTCTTCGACGCGACGCGTAGCTTTGTTTTTGGATTTTTGTCCCGTTTTCTTAAGTGTCCTCTTATGTACCGCCAGTTGGTCTTCAACATGCTTTAATATATCCAGAGATACAGTGCAGCGACTGGATCATCAAAGGGCATATCTCAACTCTGACACGTCGAAAATAATTAATGAAGACTGATTGACCTACGTCTCTCCGCTTTGTTTCGTGTTGCATTCGCTAACGAAAGATTTGTTCCCAAGTGAACTGCACTTCCTAATGAATCATAGTTAATTAAAATGAATAACAGACAATAATAGCCGCTTCTCGAATGCCGAGATACGAAAATACAGGACACAAATGCATTATCTTTGTGGAAAGGCTTAATTCCTCTACTACCATTGTGAATACATTATTTTCGCTACGAAACAAATTATACTAGTTATTTTGCTGGCTGATAACTGATAAGAGAACAACTCGTCGTTCTCACTTCATATTATTACGACGATTGTTATATTCGCTTAGAAATTTTTGATATCCGCGCAATTGTTGATGCACATAGACGAATAATTTTATTTTTCTGTTATTGGTTTCGATGTTATTTGATTTTCGAAATACCTCAGTTATTTACGAATCGAGTATATTCACATTATTTACAGTTTCTGCAATGGAATGAACGTATATCAATTAAATGAAAAATTTAATTTCACAAACTTGCGTAAAGATTGAAAGAGTCAAATAAATACCACGATGTTTATTTATTTCTTTTTATTGTCTACTATAGGCCCTCGTTGCTCATTACGCAAACGAAGATGCAAATAGTGCCTAAAATTTTTATTTTGTACATTTATTACGTTTCACGATATAAAGGGGAAGAAATAGAATAATTTGCTTTCGTTCCTGTCGATACTGGTCGATGACAGTTTCCCATAATTTTGCAAACAGCCGATCCTGTGACCGAAAGCGGCACGTAAAGTTTAGATTTATTATTTAGCATGGCTTGTTCTTGGATTTATCGCGCGACGTGGGTAACATTGTTTTTCAAGACTTTCGAAATAAAATTCCCCTGTATTTTTGGCGCGGAGACAAGGGTTGCTTTCGCTACTAATTTCACCCCGTCATACACCTTACTTGTAGTTGCACATCACGCGCAATGGGATTTACGTCACGCGCGGAGGCTCGTGACGAGCATCGCAGCGTTCTGTAACTGGGCGCATCCCTTATGTAGTAATTTCGACCGAAAATATTGCAACTGCACAATGTACACGGCGCCCAGATTTACGAACAACGCGTTTCAAATGAAGTTTACAAGATATTTATTGGCCGAGAGAAATTTCAATTTTTATTGTCCATAATCTTAAATGATAGATCGTTTTGGTAATCTGAAAAATTAACGATGTTCCAAATAAATATTTCACATAAAAATTACTCTGATTTGAGGGGGATATAATTACTTTTTCTATTCGAATGAATTTACAAAAATATTGTAACAAGTCAGACATTAAACATTCCATGAAGCTTTATTATTTCTGTTTGAATATGTATTTCATATTGGTTACATTAAAATATACCACGGATACCAACAATTTCTACGTCGAGGTTTCCATCGTTAATAAAAGAATATTTAATTATTTCAACAGGTCGATGAAATCATTTCAAAACTATGCGAACCCCAATGCTTTTAATTGTCGATGTTAACTAATTATATTTTCGACGGTGCTCAACTTGAAACGATATCCATATGTAAATGTGATTACACAAGGTGTTCGGCCACTCCTGGGAAAAATTTTAATGGGAGATTCTAAATCGATTTCTTGATTGAGGCTTCAAAAAGTTATTAAAAAATTAAATTAAACAATTTCAAATCGTTTTGGAAAAATTATTTTTGGATGCGGGGGTCAATTATAATCATTTTTGGTGAATACACATAACCCCGAAATCCTACCCACTTTCGAGAAAAAAATTCAGGTAGGCGCTGAAATTTTTCGTTGAAAAAAAATTTGTTTAGATCGAGACTTATACTTTCGAGAATAAAATTCGACTAGGTACTGAAATATTTAGACGAAATTAAAACATTTCAAAGCATACTAAAAAAATTATATTTAGTTACAGGAGTCAACTACAAACATTTTTTATGTATAGACATACTCCCGAAATCCTGCGTATTTTTGAGAAAAAAATTCATTACTGAAAATATAATGTCTGGCCATAACTGTCTGTTACCCTGAAAATTAAAAAATTTTTAATCGTTCTGGAAAAATTATTTTCTGTTACGGGGGTTAATTACAATAATTTTTAGTGAATAGACCCACCCCCGAATTCCTATCCACTTTCTAGAAAAAAATTCAGAACTTTAAACGTTAATAACATTTTACCGAAGCCTCCATCAACAAATTAGTATTCTTGATTTTCGCCTTATTTTAAAATTTTTCTCAGGTGTGGTCGAACATCCTGTATATATTCAATGTAACATACTTTTATTGACTTTAGATTTCTTTTTAAGTGCAACGATGCATGTGCAATTTGGAATTTCTTGAAATGAAAATGCATAAGTTTTATTGCACAGAAAAATTCAATTCTTGTAAATTCTTTAGGCTTCTCAGACTCGTACAAATTCTTGTTTACGTGACTTCGAAAATTCCATTGGGTATGCGTGCCCTGAATGACTTCGACATCGATAGAAGTAGAAAGAACAATCAATGGTCAGACGCGACAGAGAAATTGTATTAAAATACTACTTTTTTCTCGCGATTTATTTTCACGTTTAGAATCATTCCCTGCCCGATTTTACCACATGTGCCGCGCGTTTGTGTGTAATGGCAAGTATGTACAAGGGCAGATACTAATCTGAGGCTCGTTGTTCTTGTTTCAGGAGAGAAACCAGCTGCAATGCAGCACGGGAACACGGCAGCAGGCTCGCCGACATCGAAGACTGTCCTTGTAATGCTCGCCTTCTTTTTGGGTCAATTGAGATAATGTGTGTTATCATGCGTGTTTGAACGTGTGCTATGAACTGTGTGCGTGTGTGCGTATAAGCACGAATGCATCGTGCACAACCCAACGAATGTTGCCGAGCATTAACAAAAAATTCGATGGATCGTTGGACACAGTAGAACGTAGTTTCCCCTTCCCTGTTTGTATCTCGATCGAAATTCAATTGACAGCCCAACATGCCGCGGAGCGATCATCGATGAAGAAGAAGCTTTTCTTGTAACGCAAGATGAACGTTTTTTTGGTCGAAGCGAGTCGGTGAATCCTTTCTTTCGGCTTGAAGATTTTTTGTTTAAAAGGAGTCGTCGATGACAACTTTTTTTAAAATAAAATTTGTGGTACGTTGAATTCTATAAAACGTTTGGCTTGTCTCAGAGAAATTGTTGCAGGAAGGATCTTGAGAACTCTGTTATCGAATTTTATTCCTCCCTATCGTATTAGTTTCTGAACTAGTTCACACCACGAGGAAAAAGATATTGTTGGTAGGCGATCAGTACATGCTCGCCGTACTTTTAAAGGGAATTACAGGCCGCTAATGAAAAAAGTTTCATGTTTAATCCTGCAACAGGCAAAAACAACGATATTTTTCCACGGTGTAATTTTCTATATGGATTGTGGGGTATACCTCTCAGAAGGTCGAAGGGATTTGCTGAATTTCACGCGAAAAGGATAAATGAACTTTCTCGTGTAGTTTCGTCTTACTGGCGATAAATTTTAGATTCAAGTTAACAACATTTTTTGCGGACAATATACATTTATTTTTTTATTATATTGTGATTATTACGATGGTGCCTCAATGGAAATTCACCTCGTTGGATTTATGATTATTTGAAAATCCAATAAAATTGTGGTATTCTGCTACCGAAGAATTGTCATCGACGATTGGAATCGAATGAATTTTTAAATTATAACTTGATTAAATAATGTTCGGAACTTCTGTCACGAATGAATACATCGCCCGTGTCTCCAATTACTTTTACGTAATGTTAAATTTTTTACGATAATATTCAGTTGTTATAAGTCGCTTACTACTATGCTAAATCAGGATCAAAGTGTAATCGGTGACGGAGATACGTTAATCAGGAAATATTGAGGCAGTCTATCGATTAGATCCTTGATTCACTAGTGTTACTTTGGCAAACTAGCATAATACATATGAGCAACGATCGTATCGGACGTGATCTCAATTGAATTCGATCTGATTATAATTTTGAATAAACACGAATAATGAAACACAAATGATGAAACACGAATGTTCAAGATTCGCTTCGGGGTTAACCGTTGCATAGCGTAAGTGAACGTAATTGTGCAAAGTGCCATACCACAGCTCTTCAACAGCTGTTCAGGAATCCCATATGTAAGCATGAACATAACTTTATAATCGGATCAGAATTAACTGATCACGTGGGCTATTAGACATATGCTTGTATCTCTCAATTGGCTATAGCTTCTGCATTAGATCAATCTCTCGAAACACAGTCACACTGTGAACGTAACCAGGACGGAAGTTATGTTTGCTATTGTGTTAAAAGTGAAAATTCACATTGGATTCTTAAAACACAGTCTTCAGGGATTAATTAAATTTATAAGTTCGTTGTATCTCTTCCATCGACTATACGCGGCAGCCAAATCGTACGTAACAGATTCTGCTCAATCAAAAACCGATTATGCTTGACGTTTTCAAGTGCGTTAATGAATCAACGCACAAGTGTATATAAGTTATGTTGATTATTAAAGGTGTCCAAGTTTCTGTATTATAGCGCACTGGTAATCAACATAACGTGATCATTGATTGTATTATTACATCAGAAATTAACAGTACTTAGTTTTTTAATAATACATTGGTACGTACACAATGAAGAAAAGAAGAAAAATACGGAAATGACACAATTTTCCAAAACATTCCCGATTAACCATTTCCATCTCATACACAGATCTTCGCAAGTATCACGTTTACTTACTATATCTTGCAAAACAGAAAAACGATATTTCAGATTACGATTACCATAAGTTGCCAGTACATATTTTGCCCGCTATTGTACATCAATTATCCGTAAAACGTAATTTCCGTAAGTCGTATTACTATGTGTATGACCAGACAAGTATTAGTCTGCTTAAAACCATAGGAAAAATATTCTTCAGCCGTAACGCGTAACGGGGAATATAAATTTTTCCATGACGACTCGCGATCGAAGAAGAGAAATCAACAAACAACGATGGAAGTTTTTCGAGTACACTTCACCATTCGTTTTTGTCTGCTACGATACCCATTGTAAAAAGAATCATCGATGAAAGAACTCTTTACCGACCGGTTTCACGACGAATATACATATGTAACCCCACGCCATACGTGGAGCCCCTTTTGCGTGGCTTTGTCTCCCTCTACGCACCATATTGGGTTTGTGTTGGGCCCACATCATACGCAATCCGTTACTGTTGGTACAACCAAAATGGAAATGATACAAAAATGCAGCGTAAAGTTTTCGCAAGCGAGCTTTCGTTCTTCTCGAAAAATAACTTGGAATATTCATTAAAATTCTATGCACAAAGGATTATAGCTAAACCAAAATGAACGAGTCATTTAATTTATCTGTTTCAAGAATTTATTTAAAACATTTTTAAGAAATTTAAACTTCATAAGAAACTTGTAATTGTAATAATGATTAGAAATTATTTTTTTTATTTCTATTGTAACTGTTTTGTCGAATTGCAGTTGAAATTATAAAATTTATAAAAATTACTAAACGTACCCAAATGGATCACTTACAAAAACTTTATTCTGCACTTTCGACTTATATTTTCGCGCAAGTTTACGCTAATTTGTGTTGTATTATCAGTAACGGACCACTCTAAAGCAGTATCAACGGTCACAGTAAAAGATTTTTGTCACTCAAGGACTTTTGAGCGACCATATCCATCTGATCGTCTTAACGCGTGGGGTTTAAAAGGCACACAGGCGCGAAAAAGTCAAGCTACTCTGCCCAACGACAGATGTAAAAGAGCTTAAAGGGAGGGGGGCTGACAAAATGTCGGGAAAATTTCGTGTACCCGACCTGTAGAAATTATAAATGGAATATTAAATGCTTCGATGATCGTTCAACGTTTGTCAACGAATAAAGAGATCGCTCGAAGCGAATAAAATTCAGGTAATAGATCTTTCTGTCATTGAGTTCAAGTTCTTGTACCCCCCCCCCCTCCCTCCGGCTCTTGTACCCGTTGCTGTATTGTTTAAATAATGATCGTAATAGGTTGAGAAGCGAGTGGTCGAAATCTTTTGTCGCGATTATAGTATTCGTATACTACGGTAACGGCGACAGATTGTTGGAAGCTATTTTGCTACCAAAAACAACGGTTGCCAGTATATCTATAGATAACACTCTACAGAAATGTCGTCGTAGTATCCCAGGTTCGATATGTGTAATAATTTACAGATTACAGCGTTCTAGCGTCGTCAGAGTAAAGAAAGAAAGAAGTATCGAAGTAATGTTGTATATTGTTTGTTGTAAATGACGATTCGAGTGATTGATAGAGCGGAACCGTGGATGTGCGTTTGCAAAAAAGATATTTCGATGTGTAAGTGTGTAAATTAAGCGAAACGACTCCGTAAATAAAATTGTTACAGGCTAGAATGATCGTTTGCGTCGTAGATATTCGTTCGTTCGAGGTAAATGGCACGTTAAGGAATTTCATAACACATGTGCGAATGTTCAACGATATCGATCTCTTTCTTTAGAAGAGAAAAGCAAGATACGAATCAAAATACCGATTGCGAGTGCAGAAAATGCAATTCCTTTTAAATCTAATCCCGAGATTTTAAGTAACACGTATATTCATCAAACTTACTAATCATCTGCTTTATTTATTATTCCAACCAAGGGGAATTTATTTATTTGCAATTTTCCTACTTTCGAACAAAGGACCGCAACATTAAAATAAATAAAGAAATTGTGATCGTTCATAAAAAAATTCTCGCTCGATGAGCAGTTATTTTTTACATAAATTTAGATTTATGGCAACTGTTTATCACAAAGAAATAGCTTTTTAATAATTTCTGATTTTATTGATATCTCCTACAAGGTACCACGCAATTATCACTGTAAATCTTGTAAATTATTATACATGTGCAACACTTTTCTTGGAACATTTTGTATAAAAGGGGCTTCGAAAAGAATCTTGAAGAATGTAAAGGTATGTTATAATGGTCACGATCGCGAGTATAAGTGTACCATAAAAATCCATTTAAAAATCGATCCTATACGAGCAAAATGCGATTTCCTGTACCACGACTACGAGTGATTTATGTATATCTCTATTCTGTCGCAATTTATGAAAAAAACATAAGTACTGATTTAAATCCCCTATAATTATTATTGCTATCCGCAAATTTCAATAATACCTCCCATAACTCCTACGTGTGTTCGAATTAAAGTTAAAGTTATTCGTTACTCGTTACTTTTTTTTATAAGAAAACAAATAACAAAATTCTTTTCAAAACCTAAAGTGTTTTTTATGCAGAATGTCCCAGTTAGAATTAGTTGCAAGGATAAAAAGAAACTATCGCTTAAGGACTAATGTTAATGTTTCCAAAGGACGAGTACGATACAGAGAAATTCTTATTAACAAGGACATTGTTTTCAGAGTTAACATGGTCATCGATGTCTGTTCAAATGGAAGCACATATGTATTTCTTTTTCTTGCGTGTTGATACCAACAATAGTATGGATGAAATCATGTACAATAATATGGTCGCAAGACGACCTTCAATTCTAAAATGTAAAATCAAAATGAATCGATGATTGCTAAATATATATACATGTACATTCCGAAAAGGTACACAAAGCAAGGAATAAAAATATTTGTAAGAACAATGCCTCTGTTACTTTAATTTTAAAAGAATCATTCGATAACTTCTACAGTAATCACTGACATTTACTACCAGTAAAATACGTTGTAAAATGATCTTATAAAAAATATTTTTCACGAAA